TTTTCGAAATTATATGATAAAACAAAATACATAATAATTAAGTAAAAATAAGAATAAAAATAAAATAAAATAAAAATGTACTTATCAACCTATGATATTACAACCTAAATCTATTAAAATGCTAAAAACACATAGACAATATAAAATTTCTATCTAAAATTTGTTTTATATTGTATAAATTATTATTAAAAATTAAATATTTGGAAAAAGGTTACTTTAATATAATTTATAAATCAACTATTTATTTTTGAAAGATAAAATTTATTTAAAGATAATGTTTTCTTAAACATAATACTGTATATAATTCTGAAAAATTAAAATAACATAGTTGAAAAATCTTTCATTGACAGTATTATTCATATAATGTTAAAACTTTGCACGATACAACTGACAAGTGCCTTACGTCACGCGATTGTTCCAGCCAAAGAGACTTTTATATAATATAAGGAAAATTTCTACAAATATATTTATTGAAAAACCATCGAATTATATTTACTAAATGTATAACTCTATTTTATTTTATCCCTGCGATAGCAACTGTAATGAAAAACCAAATATGTAGGAAAATTAATTCAAAATAAACAATTTTTATGATTGCTTTTACACGGAAAATGATAAATTTAACATATTTTAACTTAATTTTGAACTGATATAAAATATCAATTTTTTGTCATCTATCCAAATTTATGCTACTTAGAAAATTAATTTTACAATATAATATATTGTATACATTTTAAGTATGGGAGACTATTATTCAAAATAAACCTAAAGGATACTTTAGATATCTCCAGTAGATTTTTAATTCGTATTTGCCAAGATGTTTTCTCATCAGTTTATATGTATAATTTAAAATTTAAATTACTATAATTTTGAAAATTATAAATAAAAATTAACTATTAAAAAATCTTTCTGTCTTATATTTAATTACTTATATTTAAAAAAATTCAACAAATTTATTAATTGAGAATTATTACATTATATAAAAATTTTACTTATTTTTTAAAAATTTCTCAAGTATCAAAAACTTATGAGTTTGATTTTTTTTTTTTGAGCTCTCTACAGGAATCTTTCACGTTAAACACATTATTTATTATAAATTCGAGGTCTAATAGAAAACTAAAAATTGTATTATTAATATTATTATAGTAGTCGTCGTCATCATGTAATTATTTATGCTTTCAAGAGGCCTCTGTCTATGCTTCCTTAATTATACCCCTGTATTATGTAATATTTGTTTTACAAATACAAGCCTTAATTATTTTTGAGTGAAAAATACTTTTTAAAATGCATTATAAATTATTGTGTCATCCATTTTTATTAATTCATTTCACTATATTATTTATTAAATTAATTAAAAAAATATATTGTAATAATAGTATGATAAGTCAAAAAAATAGTACATTACAAATTTTGTTAGTATTTTAAATGGATGAGACATTTTTGTATGCGAAATAGATAACAATTTTATTAAAAAATGCGTTAAAGGAATATTCGAATATAATATATCGGTGTTGTTATTACTTTTACAGCTTTTTGCTTATTTAATCAAAACACAGTATATTTATCATTTTTGTTTTTGGTAAACACTGAGATTTTACGCATTTCAATTTTAAAGTATTTGGTTAGGTTATTCTCATTGGACTTGATTATAATTTATTATTGGAGTATTTTGAACAACAATTTTTATTTAATTACATAATTAATTCGATAAATTGTGTATAAAATATATTATATACAAACAGCATTACTTAGTTATATATAAAGCACAATATTAAATACAGTTATTTTTATAACAAAATAATTATTTAAAAATATAAAACGACATAACTATATAGCCAATTTTATAACTTAAAATATTCATATTTCCATTTAAATATATTTTAAAATAAAAAAATATCTTACAGGATGCTTTCAGTTGTTAATTTGAACTGTCATTTGTTTTATTTTTGGTTTTACACTATAGTAAGCAGTTTTATAGTATATTATGATTCAAATAGTATTCCAAAAAATAGTTAGTTTTCTTATGTATACCAAATTCTGGTATTGTTCCCTTTTTTTCGCATATAAATCCATATATTATTGAAAATCGGATATATTTTAAAGGACAAAAAATTGTCTACATATTTGGCCCGGAGCCATCACTAACTGAATGTACATATAAATTTACCAATTTAAGTTTAAAATCAAGCTTACGTAACAAAGCATTATATATAAGTATATTTTATTCTCTTTTTATCATTTCTAACATCTGCCTTTTCTTTTAATCAATTGAATTATTTTGACTTATGAAATTTATATAAAATATTGATTTTCTGAAAATCAATGTTCTATAGACTATAGTTATGTATTTGACGAGTATCTCATCTTATAACGTGTACTGATGTGTTATTATTGTTAATATTTTTGTTACTTGAGAATGTTCTAGATTATTTTGGTAAAAGTTTTGGTTAAACGGGTTACGATCTTGAGCAATAATTGATCGTGGATCTTTAACTGACTTTTTAAATCGTATTTATAACTTTAATGGTTAAAGAGTAAATCAAAAAAATGAATAGTACATTTTTATTCGACACTCGCATGTTACATAAGATTTAAGTATACTATTAATTGCCCATAATTATGTTCAAGTTATGCTTAATATGATTAATTTCAACATTTTTGTCAAATAATTTTTATCGATTAATATTTTAATAAATTAATTTTTATTTGGGTGTACATAGTATTATTTGTTTTGAGTGCTCAAGTATAATTTAATTACAACAATACATCTGATCACTAATAGTTATTTAATAACACAAATCAAATTAAAATTACTGATTATATGAGTCCTAGAGTTTATACTATCGTCATGTTAAGCTCATGGCTCTAAATACAATGTTATACACTAAATTACATGAGGTTAATATGAAATACTTTGATTTTACTGTTTAATTGAAGGATTTTGAGGGTAAGTTTAAACGTTAAACTAAAGCAGCACAATTGAATTTGTGTTATGCACATATTTCATCTATTATTAAACTTAGTATGATCGAAATTTTTCATGACCTTTTTTTCTTAAAATGTAAGTAATATTTTATGTTAAACTAATTTCTTCTTTTTATTTGTTATAATAGTAACAATAATAATAAAATTATGTTATTATATCTAATTGAAATAAAAAGAAGTTTTGGCGCTTAAATAATTTATAAATATTATTTTATATAAAAAAAGATTATTTATAAATAGTAACCAAGGATATAATTTACTTATAATTGTTATTGCTTTAAGTTGTGCTAAATATTTGCACAAATTACGGTTTGTTATTAATATCAAATAGAAAGTATTATCTTATTATAACATATTTAGTCTAAGTAAATTCTAAGTACTATTCAAGTGTTTATTAATAAGAAAGCTAGAAAATAGTAAGTCATAATTTATTTAAAATAGCTTTGTTAAAAATATTCTATTTTTGTTTTGTATATCAAAATAACCTTCCTTCGAGTGGACAATTTTAATAAATATCTTTTAATATTTCTAAATTAATTTAAATTTGATTTATATGTAAAAAAACTAGTCTTAATATTAAAACTAAATCAAAGCCAAATGTAAGGGTGGTAAAATATTTGGAAAGTAAAAATATAATTCCTTCACCCCAAACAATAATTTTTATAAAACAACGCATATAATTTTTCTAAATTTCTGGAGGGCTAGAAAGTCGTCCATCAACGACTTTGATAAAAGCTTATTTTATTTTTAATAATTTTATTGTAACATGTTTAATTTAATTTTTACCGATGATAATTTAATATATATATATATATATATAGATATATGTAAATAATTTTACGATAATTATATCCATTGATAACTTAAAAGTATTAATAACTCATAATCATAAATTTAAATAATAGGTAACATTTTTTTAATTAACTCAGATCTCCAATTTTATATATTCGAGTTATTTGAAGCTTAATAGATAAATTTGGAAGTGGCTAACATAAGCTCATTTTATCTTAATAACATTTAAAAAAAAATTGATAGTAATTTTTTTAGTGGTATGAGCACAAATATACAAAGATTTCAAATGAAATGTCATTTATTATGTTAAAGTATAAATGAATCATTTTAAAAATATGGATATTAAAGAGTTCAAATATCAAACCTTTCCTCGACAAAGAATGCTCTATATTTATTACATGTAATTTCTTATAACTGTAAAACATGACATGTTGTATAAATGCCAAAAAAGTACGATCGTGTATTTTCCTAGTTAGATTTTAATCTAAAAAACAATTTTTACTACAAACATTTTTTGTTTACCTATTTGATACTTTTATCAAAATAAAATTGAAAATAAGTTGTTAGATCAACGTTTGTTGATAAAGAATGAATTATTTTAAAGAACAAAATCTAATAAATTTTAAAAATATATGTATCTTTTTAATAATTTCAAAATATTTATAAAATAAGAAGAATTTACTGGGTAAATTTATTTAACATTAAACAAACAATAAAAGATATAAGAGTTCTTATTTTTTTCTGATGGTTTATGACTATATTGAGAAATCTCAATATTTAAGAGTTAATTTGATTTATCAAAAAGTAATTTTACTTTCTAGTATTTTTGAAAATATTTTGTAAAATCCTTTTATTTGAATTAATCCTCTGAATACCGAAATTAAATTTATTTCTTATTTCTTAGAAATATTTAATTAAAGATTTAGCTTGCAATTATAATTGTTTGAATAAAAATCTGTTTTCTTATGGGCTGTATTAATTCTGAAATGTTTTTTATTGCAAATGTCTTTTACACAAAAGTAATAAAATTCAAAGTGACACTTAACCGTTTATTCGAATAATTTAATTTAATACTTAATGACAAAGTAAAAAAATATGACTTTTTAATCTAACATGATCTCTTGTTATGATTAGCAAAAATTTATAATTCTGTAGGGTAAAAATAAATCATTTATCTTAATTCAACTAAACTTTTTTATTTACTTTATGTTTTTTATTTTTAGCGTTGACAAAATAGTCAATATGCAAAGTCGTTTAACTTTATTTTTATCGGCCTGTACTTTGTTGCTGTTATTGACTAATCGAGAAAATAAATGTTACGTTCAAAGTGTACCGATCTCCGAAACTTATGGTAAGTTAAATATGTTTATCCTTTTTATATTTCATTAAAAAATTAATTATACATATATACTTATTATTTATTTATCATAATTATAATTATTATAATTATCACCAATTTTATTTTATCTTTTAGTTATTTAATTTATTATTACCATTTCAAAAAATAATAATGGTAAATAAAAATGAGAATTTATGGTCTTAGAGTCATATTTAGGGTCATTTAAGTATTGGCAAAAGCTCTTACACTATGCACTATAAATGCTGATTTTAATACTCATGCACATTAATTTTTTGGTCACCACTATACCTGAAATTTGAAAATTTGTAGTATAAATTGAGTTGGTGTGTAACACGGGTAAAGTATGAGTAATAAATATACACCAGTAAGAGCTGTATCCCACCTACGTTATGTATATTCGATGGATCAAAAGTTATTAAAGATGTCAAAATCTGGCAGGACATTCTGTATACAAGGGCCAAGTGTCAAATGCAGCACATAAGCTATCAAAACACACACCTAAATACTTCAAATATTGTGTATTCGTAGTATGGAATACAAAATTGAACGATTACAATTAATTTTATACAGTTGCTTTATTCTTAAATGTATTACTCAGAGTAAAGTATTAAAAATTTTATAACATAACAATACCTTCTTAACGAAACAAGGTTCTAATTAGTCACAATTAATTATAGTGATATTTTAACAACGACCTATTTCATTTAAGTAGTCTCTTGTAACATTATTTATTATTTTATCACTGAGTAATTATGCTTTTATTTATAACTTATTGGGGCAGTGTTAACTTTTATAAAAATAGATTGACATAGAAATTTGTTCAAAGTCACATATCATATCTGTCACTTATGATAACAAGAAAAAATATAAAATTTAATTTATGAAACATATTGTTGTTGCTTCCTATATTATAAAAACCAAGTTAATGAAGAATTTCTATTTTAAATCTAAATCTTTATGCAATTTTTGTATACAAACTGCTTATTGGATATAAAACATTATAAGAACAATATTGTTTGAACATTTTTTCTATCATATAATCAAACCATAAATTATATTTTCTATTTAAGAAAATTAAAGTTTAGTTTCGGCAAAATCATTTTATTGCGACCAGTACAAAGGTTATTACTCACACCGTTTTTAATTTGGAAATAAAATTGTATTTTTATTGAACTAGCAGATACCATACAATTCATTTTATCATTATTATTTTCAACAATTGAAATGAATTGATAAAGTACATAGTATTTGAAAAACTTAATTAATAACATAAACTAATTTGAACGATAAAAGATAGAATAATAAATGATGTCTTTACGTATTCATATAATTTCCTTTTTTGATATTTAACGAGTGGCTGCTAAATACCTTCGATGTAATGTCTTAAATTTCTATAATAATACTATAATGGACAAAATAAATTCGAATAATGCGATCCTTCATTCTAAGTTCATATTATTTTCGTCGACATTACCTCTTTTGTCTTTTCAAAAACCTCATTTTGAACATTTTAACGATATCACGTACTGACTATTGATTTCTAAGAGTTGATGACAGGTAATTTAAAGTTGAGAGAGAAACTTGGGCTGTAGTAATAAGTATGAGCGTTTAGATATATTTGTGCCAAAGATAAACCTTTAAATTATTTAGCTTTAGTTAATGTATCTCAATAAACAATATATACATTATGAGATCCATTGATATTGTTTAATGGAAAATTCGAATGAAAGAGGATTGAATTTCTTTATAAAAATTTTAATGTCAATCAATAGAATATTTTCGAAGTCAGTTTTGGATTTGAGCGTACTAAATAATAATAATAGTAATAATCTTCTCCTCCTCTTCTTTTTCCTCGTCTTAATCCCAACTACATGGGATCGGCCACCCTTATCCTAAACTTCCACTTAATACGATCTCCCACATCATCTACGCTCACATTAGCCGTCCTCATATCGCGTTCAATTACATCCCTCCATCCCTCTTTTGGTCTTCCTCTACCTCTTCTTCCTTCAACATAGATTTCTATAACTTTTCTTACAGCTTCCGATTCCTCTTTCCTCATAACATGACCAAACTGTCCAAGTCTATTTTCTCTCATCTTATCCGTGATTGACGATACACCTATACTACCTCTTATATGTTCGTTCTTTATCCTATCTTCTCTAGTAACTCCATTCATCCACCTTAAAATTCTCATATCTGCTACACTCATCCTCTACTCAACTTTCTTATCAACCACCCAATACTCTGAACCATACATCATAGCTGGTCCCACTACAGTCTCATAGAATTTACCTAATAATAATAATAATGAATTTTTAGAAATTCCATAAAATATTGATTAGATAACTTTAAAAATGATTATTCAAAATGTATTTATCTAAAATCCAATACAATCATTAAATGAACTTCTATAAAAATTGTCTTGAATCTTACTGATTATGTAATATGTATATAATGTTACTTATTATTCAGGCACGGAGTCAAGGGGGATCCGGTCCTACGAATAATTAAGGTCTAAAAAGATAAAGAACCTAGCCTTGTACTCCATCAAATTGGTAAAATTCAATTTTATATTATTATTCATTTTTTTATCACTTACACATTATATTTGTGTTGCAATAAAAACATAGTTTAAAGTTTTTATGAAAAATCTTTTCTTAGTGCCCATTATAAACCTGGCCCCAGTGACCCAAAAAGGTACAATTCGGTCTTGTCAAAATTACATACATCTGTGTGTATTGCATTGTATACGTATTTTTAAGTGTATTGTGATATTTAGCTATTTCCTGTATTCATCGACGTTACCATAGCTACTGGAAACTTTCCAGTAGAAACTCGACTTTTATAAAAACTTATAATGACATTCATGATGGTTGAGTTGGCTCTGAATATTAATAATTCATTAATGTCTATAACACGTCTTTGCTTTTTCTCTGTCAAAACTTTACTCATTTGTCAACATGATGGTCATTATCATAATTATTCATCAAAAAACATGACTACTTAAAAACGTTCAAATTACTTATTATGAGTAAAATGTTTGTAAACATGTTAAGTATTATTATTTTTATACAATTATCATTCAATAACTTATAAGTTTACAATAAATGCAGTCGATCACGTATTTTCAAAAAAAGTTGCTTAAGGATTAAATTAGTAGTAAAATACTAAAAATTAAGAAAAATTACATCAAATTAATACATTTTTTATGTATAATGTAGTCAGGGAAAAAACAATTCTTGGGTAACTTGAACTTATAATTTTTTTTAAAAGTTTTAAATGTAAATGCACTCTGTAAATGTTTGTTGTATTAAACAACTTTTAAAATATATATTAATGCTGTTCTGTTTACTCAAAGTTTTTTTCCTATAATGATTTAGCTCGGCGCTATGTGTATGCAATTTTAACGTTTCTGTGCAAAGGAGGTTATTACGAAAATACATTCCAAAACATTGAAATTTTTTTAAAAAAAGTTGAACATTCTTTTTAAATACATAACTTTTGTTTTGTATTCGATGACGCAATGTTAAAATCCTTTTCACCAAGAAATCTAATTCGACGGAAGTTCAGCGTTACTTTGCCCTCCCACTTACAAAGGCAATATACTTTGTTATTTGTTTGAGACAATATGATGTTTTGAAATTAGATTTGCCCTTACTGCTGTGACGTAGTGTTAAGGGTGATAAATGAAAAAGGAAGGAAATAAAGCTTTGTAAAGTTTCCGCTTTGTAATATTGTTTCTTATATTTTTGTTCAGTTGGGCGTTGGTGTGGATCTTTCGTAGTAAATTTTTGTTTCAAAAAATCTCTTTTTTAATAATTAAATTTGATATCGCTTTGTAGTAAAATTGAGTTTCCTTAGTTAGATAGTAAACGATATATATCGAATTACCTCAACAAACTTCGGTTATTAACCTCAATCTTATTTGTTTTGGGTATGAAAACAATTAATATTTATTGAGAGTATGCAACATAAAATACTTGTTTCTTTATCTTTTCAAAATGCTCAGAAATTCTTCAATACTTAAGAAAAATATTGTATTATCGGAATAAATAAAAGTAATTATCAGTCGAATTTATTGTAAAATGTATTTGATTAATAGCTTTAAAAAATGTGTTTTCAAATTACGTACAAATTAATTTAATATTCATACATTAAGTTTTCATCCAAAAAATGTTTAAGGGAATATTCATTCAATAATAATTTAATTTCAATAAACGTTAAAAAATAATTTATAACATAGCAGAATACTTCCACTGTCATAATAAAATATATTATTGGAGTGTAATGGTATTTATACTATTGTATACTTTCTTTTTAGTTAAAACAATGAACATTTTGAATGTAATTAAAACAAAAATCAGGGCAGTGTTGACGGGGACAATTTACTTAAGGCGGCAAAAAAATATTAATACAGTTTTGCAAAAGTTGCATGTTTAAAAATATATTAAATATAAACGCCAAATATATGATTACCCTAGGGCACCAATGACAGTTAACACGGCACTGTCAGAAATAGTTAATTACACATTTTTTTACTTAGTGATCCTTTAGTCATTTGGGGTTACTTTGAATGGCAAACATTGCCTATAGTAGTTGGGTCAAGGTTAGGGCTAATACATTAATATTGCAAAGTAGTTCTTTATATAAAAACAACAATTTAAGTATAGTATAGATTTATTTTACTCCTGTTTAAAATTGCATAATTGCTTTATTGTTTATTTATTTTTTATACTAAAGATATTTGTTTTTTAATAATAATAAAAAAAAGTTATGGGTTCATTATATCAAACAATTCTGAACAGTTTAAACTTTTAACACAAAGTATTCTTTTAGTTTTAGTGGAATCCTTAAATTTTTTTATTTAATGAAAGATACCATAAAAGTCAAAAGAAAGAATTTCTAAAAGTTTTAGTACACCCTTAGTCATTTTAACTAGTTCTAACTAAGTTTCAACAAAATCAAATTTGGATTTTTAATAATGAACACACTTGTTTTTCTTTTGTTTTGTTTTATATTATGGTGAGAGAATGATTTTCATTAAAGGTTTGAATGTAGAATCACTGCTAAGGTTAACGGAGCGTTAAATAAAATGTTGAGTATGAACAACAATTAGATTTTACGACAGAACATTAGAGCTTGTTAAAAAGTGGTCTACATCATTGTCACAGGAACCATAAAACAGCTTTGCAATAGACTTATTATTAAACTGACACAGTTTTACTAACATTAGCTGGAATTCATCAATCAGCTTTTTTATTTTTTGGCAATCACTTAGTAATTTTGTCATCAAATGTATCAGTCATTAAGTCAAGCAAATTGATTATTTATATTAAAAATCATGTAATGCGCACTTAAGTATAATTAAGAATTCTAATACAATACATTGTGTTAATCATAACATATAGTTGGTTATATATTGTAAAAGATAATAACATTTCGATGAAATAATTTCCCTGGGAAATTAATATTTATGTTGATATTTATTCTATATTAATATAAATATATAAATTTATTCACATGGTATTAATTTAATAGCAAAAAACATAAATTGATATTTTATGCAACATTGATGTCCATTATCACTTGGAGTAATTTTAATATTTACAATTTTTTATTAAAATGATCCTATTTGGATGTACTTAATTATTATAAATATCAAAGTCATTACCGTTTTCTTATATTTGTAATTTATACAAGGAAGTTTGTGTATATGATTCAATTTTCTAAAGAATTATTTCCGTGATGATATCTCATAAAAGTTTTAGGGCTAAAGAAGCTAATAGGTTCTTGTTATGATAACCCAGTATTGATTTTTACTAAACTTATTTCCGTCCATGAAATGTAAAGAATAATTTACTATAATAGAAATTATAATCATAATAATAATCGTGTAATGAAGGATAATATAGTCACCATAAATTTAGTTCATATTACACACCTTTGGTGACGGAAAAAAAGAGCTTTTTAATCAATTTTTCAGTTTTTATATTTACTGAAATTTCTAGAGTAAAATGTACTGTATTGATTTTTATACGGATAGTGTAAATAAATTTATTTACAATGTTTTTAAAATTATAACTCTCAGTAGAATAAATAAGATAACTATCAATAAATATACACTTTAACTTACGTAGGATATACAAACATTTTTGTAATTTTACATTATATGCATAGTTTGTTGTTATTTTCATAAACTACTTACAAACTATAATGACATTGTCATTAAATTCATTGATAACGTGACACGGTCAGTATTGGGGAAAATCTAGATTGTCATCTGTTAATTTTATTACTCAAAATCTTATGCATTTGTTAGGCTGTCAAATGCTATCGTGTGTTTACATATTGTTAGGAGATAATGTACAATTTATTCTTTTTTTAAATTTACCGTTTTATCATTCACTAGTTTTTTGATAAATCTCGATCGTATATCAATGTACATCAAATATAAATCTTGTGAATATTTCATAAATAAAAACTTAGCATTATAGAAATATAGTTATGTTAAGACCACGTCTTGTTTTTATTAACTTTAATCGAAGTGTATTTTAAATTTGGTATCTATTTCAAAAATGTATAAACTTATATTAAAATAAATTTTTATAAGTTTCAATATTTCTATTCCAATTATAATTGTGATCACGCTCATGTTCAATGTAAAATTCAATTATAAAATTTAGCCCTGAAAGAATGTTTAATAATGTTTTGGTTTAAATCGTATTAGTGGTTGTAAATTAAAGTACATAAGTTGTCTCATACGTTTAATAATTAATATTTTATATGCACATAAATACATGACATTTTTGTTAATTCAGTAACTAAAAAAATTATTGCAATCGACGGGTAATCTGTCACGTAGAACTATATGTACCTTGTAACAAACGTGGGTGGTCTATTTTACTCGGATATTTAATGTAATAGTGGTATACACTTTTCTTTCCAAATATTGAAACCTGTTATTTTCAAAAATTATCCTGCAGAGTGAACTAGTATGAAAACTTGTAACTGTTGCACAGCTACCCGTAGTTTATTTTATCAGGTCATTCCTCAGCGCACAGTTTTTTTCATAAGAGTTCTATTACGCAGTTAAACAACTAATAAATATGTTTTTATTTTAAAAGTTCAAATCCATTTGGATCATATGGAATTAAACACATCAATTATAAATATTTACTCAAGTATACATTTCATTGAGAATTGCCTTTTTTATAAATTTTTCTTAATTCATTATTAAAACCATATTGAACTAAAAAAATCCTAAAAAATTGTTTGCATGCCTAAGACTGTTACTTTAAAATTATTAATGAATCTAAGGTCACAGTATAAAGTATAGTATTACAAAAGTAAAAATAATCATATTATTGAGTTTCAAAAATACAGTAGAAATTTAAGATTTTGGAGATTTTAAGAAGGAACATTGTTGAGTTTTGTGATAATTATAAATATTACTAAAAACTAACCATAATATTCATAACACACCTATTTAATTTATAGTAAAGTAAAGTTTTAATGCCAATATAATAATATACATATCTTCCATACTTTTTGTAACATTATGTAGTTGTACTCATAATATAACATGATCAGTACCATAAGTTGTTATTATTTTAATTTTTAGATTTGCCAGCAGGAACAGAATTCAAAAATGGAGTGCCAAAAGTAAGTTAACATAATGAATTTTAATTTCTGATTAAAACATAACCATTATTTATATTATTTTTAAGTTTTTATGAATCAATTGTTTCATTATTAATTAAGCAACACTTTTATCTTTGCTTCAATATACTTAACTTTTTTACGTAAATTAATTCATAATTCTTCTTTTTGTTGTTTATTCTCTTATAATTTTATAATTATATACAATGAGTAACTCAAAAATACCTGTAAAAAAGTAAAACCTTAATTTTATAAAAAAAATTGGTCTTTTTTACGACGTTTTAAGAGTATATATATATAAATATACCAGGACAATTTTACACCATTTTTATGTAGCTGATAATGTCAGTCTAATAGGTATATTAAAATAAATGAAAAAGTTACCCTTCCTCCAAAAAAAAAAAAAAATGTCCAAACTGCCAATGGCTTATGGTTAATCACAATTTAAATTTCATAACTGAAAAAATAAATAACTAAAGTAGATCAAAATAATCAAATTAATTTTCTTTTTCTTTTTCTTTTTTTGATAAATCAATACTTACATTTTTGATAGACGTTTGCAAACAGATAACGAAATGTAAAACTATTTCAATAGTTTTTTATAATTTTTTACGATTTCTTCGTGAAAATTACCACACAAAATATTGATGATCAATTTCATACTAAAAATAATTACTTTAATAAGTATTTATTCATATATGTATTTACGTATAAATCATAAAATTTGTTATCAGTATACTCTGAATCATATATCATAGCTGGCCTCACTACAGACTTGTAGAATTTATCTTTCAGCCTCATTGGAATTCTTTTATCGCATAAGACACCAGACGCTTCTCTCCACTTCAACTACCTGGACTTAAACTATTGTCTTACATCCTCGTCAATACCACCGCTCTTTTGCACAACTGAACCTAAATACTTAAAACTTTCCATCTCTCCAATCACGTCCTCGTCTATTGTCACTGAACTCCTCATTTCACCTACCTCGTATTCTCCTTTGTCAAACTCGTACTCTATATACTCTGTCTTACTTCTACTTATTCTTAAACCTTTTCTTCAAGAGCTGATTTCCACACCTCTAACCTTTGTTTAATTTCCTCCCTATTTTCTCCTATTAACACAATATCGTCACACAAAACAACATGCTCCATGGCACCTCTCCCTGTATTTCTCTAGTAATTTGATCCATCACTCTAAAGAATAAGTAAGGGCTTAAAGCAGAATTTTAGTGCACTCCTACTCTTACCCGAAAACCTTCTGTTACTCCTCCTACGCTTTTTACTCTGATACGAGTGCCATCATACATATCTTCTATTATATTAATGTACCATTTCGGGACTCCTTTTCTCAATATTGCCCACTATAAAACCTCTCTCAGTACTCTATCATACGCTTTTTCCAAATCTATAAACACCATACAAAGCTTTTTATCTTTTCCCTAAACTTTTCTGTTTGTTGCTTCACACAAAATACTGGCTCCATTATTGACTTACCAGGCATAAATCTAAACTGGTTTTAGGTACCGATGTTTCATTTCTTATTCTCTTATCTGTTACCTTTTCCCAAATTTTCATACTAAAACAATTGAAACAGTAAACATCTATTCCTTACTTACTGAACACTCTTTATATTTCAGTCTTAATACGTCCAGCAATTAATTTTTATTTTTTATCGTGAGAAAAATAAAAAAAAAATTTCCTTTACAATAATGTGATAAGCAAAATAAGTGCATCACTACTTTCAATAGAATATTAGTTGTCACCTGATATATACATAAATATATGTATATATATATATATTGAAATAATTAATTATAAAATTTTCATACGAACAATTTTTTTGTTATTTGTTGTCCTGTGTCATTTATTTTTATATCTGTTATACAATGTTATCTTGAAAACAAAACTAACTTGTGATTCAAAATTTTCACAAATAAAAAAATATAAATTTACTTTAAAAGTATTTTGTTCTATAATCCAATTTAAAAGTTTCTACAATAAGAAAAACTAATAGTGTTCACAAATAGAGTAACCAAATCAATAAGGTGTCACCGATTCGATTCTCGGTCATGAACATGTCCATTTGAGCTTCTGTTAACTGGGTGATAGATTTATCAAGTTAAAATTATGTGTCATTTGATTGACAACGAATTCACTACGAACGTTGAAGTACTCCCTAAAGGGTTGTATTTAATAGTTAGAAATGGCTCTTAAAGCGTATAAAATACAAACTATACAACCACAAATACTTAATTTAAACAAGGCCACCAGTAATGTATTTGAGTAGAATTGTTAAGTTATTAGTTGATTAATAATATAAATTTTGCGAGAATACTGTGTAAATAAACTTAAAAAACTAAATTATTAAATTATAATTGCTTATATGATAGTTATGGGTGTAATTACGACAATTAAAGACACGTACGTTTCATTATAAGGTTTTATTTTAGGGAAGAGGTAAAATTCATTTTAGTTACTTTAGTTTCACTTATATTTATTATATATACGTAATTAGGGATGATAGATACAATAGTAAATTGTCTATTAGTGAAGCCTAACAATAATTATTTAATAAAAAATTAATTTTAAGTGTACTTTCTATATAATTTCAATAATAAAGAGACTAATTTTTTTATGATTTTAATGTACAATGTTTTTTACAGTCAATCGACCACGACGTTCAAGAATTAGAGAAATTAAAAATTCCAGGTAAACAAAATCTGTTACAAATTAATTATATAGATGTTTTATTATAAATGTAATATTATGTTGATTTGATATAGATAAAGTTGAAGAATCAGTGTCTATTCTCAAATCACGTGAATCTGTGTACACAAATAACAATGGGAAAGAAAAGGCTATAGATAAAATACAACAGCAAGGTTAGTTCAATTGATTTTAAATTAAAATATTTTAACCAACCAATTCTCCTAAAAACTATTTACTACTAAATCGTGAGTTTTTCTAATTATAATTTCAGAACTATTTGTTTTGTTAGTATTATTTAGTAAAATTAAGAATGACTTATTTTGTTTAAATTTTTTGCTGATCATAAAATAAACAATAAAATGTATAATTTTTTCTAAAAAATGCCATTCATTAAACAAAAACTATATACTTTTTAAAAGGACACCCTAATTCCTAATAACAATTTATAAAATAAAATGTTATAACTGTCCAACTCATATCATTAAAAATATTTTTTATACTGAAATTAATGTAATTTCAGTATAAAAAATTATTATTGGAAAATAATCTACTAAACATTTCAACTTAAAATAATATAAAAAATAAATATTTGCCTTTTAGTCTAAAAATCTTAAAACCTAAAGTTTCAGTTATCTTGTTACTTATAGCTTTTATGAATAGCTGAAATTGTATTGATTTTACTCATAGTAAAATCAAATTTATAAAATTTGTAATTTATATGTATTTAACATATGTTAATTTTTTTTTTTTTTTCATTGAGTATATTTAATAAGGAGAAACTAGTTAAAAAGGTTATATTTTAAAAAAATACCATTTTATGAGTACACGGTAGTGTTTACATGGAAATTATTTTCACAGGTAAATACTTAGTCTATAAAGAAACAATAATATAAAAATCCTGAGTACTTTCTATAAATCGATGCAATGTTTTAATAAGTATATTTTTTTAGTGAACAAAAATGGTGAACTATTAGCAAAGTTGGAACAAAAGGTGATGTCGAAAAACGACAGAGAAAACAACGGCCGTCCAGAAACTAATGTAAATTTATCAATTGATATTCCAAGTAAGGGAATACATAAACAGACTTCATATACTTCAAATGAAGAACCTAAAAAACAGAACTATAAACGTTTTGACAAAAAAAACTATGTAAGAAAAACATTGTACAATATTGGTTTTGCATTATAATTTTGACTTTTTTTTCTTATTTAAAATTATATTTTTAGGCTTCCTCATATCAATCACCTGATTTTGATGGAGACGCATCTCCCCAGGATATGGCTGAATACATTTTTTTTACCAAAGATGATAAATCAGTTACCCAAGCTATCGAGAAACTTATTCAGGAAGGAAGGGTTAGCATAAAATATTTCATAAAACTTTTATTTTGAAAAGTTCTTTGGCTATTATCTATAAAATATGATCATACTCAGGGATAGGATATGAAAAAGACAACCCATTCGTGATAAAAATTAATATATTTTAAAAATGTAATTTGGAGGCGGAGAAAACATTTCTTATGAATACCTCCCCAAACAAAACCCTGAAAACGTCATATGGCATTTTATATGTTATACAAAACGTTATATAAAAAAAGGGGCATTTGAAAACAAATATATTGTTTGCATAGGGTCGTTTGAAAGCAAAAAAATATGATGGGAAACGAATTATTTTTACCTGTTGAATAATTTATTTTATTATTAGGTGACTTATTTTATGTCTAAATCTTAAAAGGCTCATTCCTCAAAAAGTAATATTTCAAAATTATCTATTCAGTAAAACACATTGAAACCGCGTCCAATCACAATTTTTTTTTTAGTTCGAATATTGATAATAGACGAAGTCAGTACTGGTAACTGATCATTAGCCAATTCATACTAGAATAGTACTGATTAGCGTCTTAACTAAGTACTGATCCAGTTTTGGTGGTCAATACTTGGTCGCCTTTGCTGGTAGAGTACTGGTGTAATACTAGTCATACAAAACCTCCAGTACAGGTGAAAGACCTGTAAAAAGTGCGGAAAGAGTGCGGAACAACCTTATCATATCAGTCATATGTCAGTATTGGCGTAGTGTTACACCTGTTGTTGATTTCTGATCGGATATTTGGGTGTAAATAGTATATACTTAATTATTTATGAGCAACAAATAATTAATTTTTAAATGGTAGTAAATACTCTAAAATGTATTATAAATAAAAATGGTGGCAAATATGATGCTCCTAATTAATTAATACTTGAAAATAGCCAATTCGTTAAAAATTAATTATGTATATACTGTATAGAGTATACAAAGGACATACAAGCCCTTAAAGGCGTTAATTCTTATAATAATGAGTTAATACATAATTTTATGAAAATATACGTTATTTGTATAAGAGAATTAGGTCTTCACTAATAAACATTTTAAAATAAATTTAATTTAGTTTTAATTACAGCTCGATCGAGAAGCAGCATTGGCTTACTTGGCACTGATTGATAAAGAGTTATACCGTTTAAACGTTCGATACTCAGATACACCATTAGACGTGAGCAAGGATTTTGTAAGTTCTTTATAAATTATAATTGTCCATACTTAATTATAAGACTACTTGTATAATAATAATAATCTATAATAGATCGTTGGCAATGACGTATTTAGATATTTTGTATTTTTGGGTGGGTTCGAATAGCTTTTAGGGCGTAAAGTTCTTCCTCTTAACTATCTCCTCCCTCGCGTCAGTGAGTGAAGTCGGGCCCCTGTAAATGTGCCACTGTTGGTAATATGTTGTGCTTCAATGCGAAGGTATTATTCGATCCGTTAGGTTAAGTCGGTATTTTTATCATCTTAAGTACAAGTATAGTTTTTAGAGAAAACGTTAAATATCAATAAGAAATAATTATACAACATAATTAAATTAAAACTAATATTTTACAAATTCATTCGATAATCTACAGAAATTGATTTGTTGCATTCTTCTAAATTATTTGTTCATAAATTGAACAAAAAATCAGATAATTATTTTATATTTATCTATTATTTAGTAGAAATTAATGAATAAAACAATTTGTAAAAAAATAATACAAATTATGTATTTAAGATTTTTGGTCGGTATGTTTTTAGCGCTGATGTTGGTAATATTTTTTCTTAAATACGTTTACCCAATTTTTTTAGTATTTTTTATGGCTTTTTGGGTTAAATATTAGCTTCGATGCGAAGCTGAGAAGGTATTGGTTTTACTATGATGTGTTTTTTTTTTTTTTTTTTTTTTTTTTTTNATATTTTAAAAATGTAATTTGGAGGCGGAGAAAACATTTCTTATGAATACCTCCCCAAACAAAACCCTGAAAACGTCATATGGCATTTTATATGTTATACAAAACGTTATATAAAAAAAGGGGCATTTCAAAACAAATATATTGTTTGCATAGGGTCGTTTGAAAGCAAAAAAATATGATGGGAAACGAATTATTTTTACCTATTGAATAATTTATTTTATTATTAGGTGACTTATTTTATGTCTAAATCTTAAAAGGCTCATTCCTCAAAAAGTAATATTTCAAAATTATCTATTCAGTAAAACACATTGAAACCGCGTCCAATCACAATTTTTTTTTTAGTTCGAATATTGATAATAGACGAAGTCAGTACTGGTAACTGATCATTAGCCAATTCATACTAGAATAGTACTGATTAGCGTCTTAACTAAGTACTGATCCAGTTTTGGTGGTCAATACTTGGTCGCCTTTGCTGGTAGAGTACTGGTGTAATACTAGTCATACAAAACCTCCAGTACAGGTGAAAGACCTGTAAAAAGTGCGGAAAGAGTGCGGAACAACCTTATCATATCAGTCATATGTCAGTATTGGCGTAGTGTTACACCTGTTGTTGATTTCTGATCGGATATTTGGGTGTAAATAGTATATACTTAATTATTTATGAGCAACAAATAATTAATTTTTAAATGGTAGTAAATACTCTAAAATGTATTATAAATAAAAATGGTGGCAAATATGATGCTCCTAATTAATTAATACTTGAAAATAGCCAATTCGTTAAAAATTAATTATGTATATACTGTATAGAGTATACAAAGGACATACAAGCCCTTAAAGGCGTTAATTCTTATAATAATGAGTTAATACATAATTTTATGAAAATATACGTTATTTGTATAAGAGAATTAGGTCTTCACTAATAAACATTTTAAAATAAATTTAATTTAGTTTTAATTACAGCTCGATCGAGAAGCAGCATTGGCTTACTTGGCACTGATTGATAAAGAGTTATACCGTTTAAACGTTCGATACTCAGATACACCATTAGACGTGAGCAAGGATTTTGTAAGTTCTTTATAAATTATAATTGTCCATACTTAATTATAAGACTACTTGTATAATAATAATAATCTATAATAGATCGTTGGCAATGACGTATTTAGATATTTTGTATTTTTGGGTGGGTTCGAATAGCTTTTAGGGCGTAAAGTTCTTCCTCTTAACTATCTCCTCCCTCGCGTCAGTGAGTGAAGTCGGGCCCCTGTAAATGTGCCACTGTTGGTAATATGTTGTGCTTCAATGCGAAGGTATTATTCGATCCGTTAGGTTAAGTCGGTATTTTTATCATCTTAAGTACAAGTATAGTTTTTAGAGAAAACGTTAAATATCAATAAGAAATAATTATACAACATAANATCGAGATATTAATAAGGAACCAGCAGATCAAGTAGCTTTTGGAATAAAACACCAATTTTTTTAAAATTAAACACTATCTAAAGATTTGCATCGAAGCGTTTATTTTTGATAGTGATTTTAATCACTGTCAGATATCATTTACTTGATCCAACTATGCCACGTCACCACTGTGCCGCGACCCCCCTGTGCTGGGTTTTTTTTTAGTTTAAATTACTAGCTTAAATATATTTTTAGTTTTAAATACCAAATTTTAAAGAGTGAAGGACTTTTATTATCATTTTTTTTTTTTATAGTTTTGTATTATATTATGATTTTAATTATAAAAATAAATTCCATAAATAAATAAAACTTCATTTTTAAAATTTACAGAGTAAACTTGTGTACTTGAATGGTCTAAGAAACTATTTGAATAAAAGACGTGTCTAACATCCTATGATTTATTTATAAAGCAAGAACATATTTTCTATTGTCATAATTAATTTTTTTATTAAAATATTGCAATCATATATTCTGGAGCAAGTTTTCGTTATAAATAAATATTTTGATTATATGCTGATTTAGAAAATTAATGTACAAAAATAAAAATCAGTGATAAACACATTATCTAAAAAGTTCACGGTCAGTCTTAAAAGTTCTTTATAATATATTATAGATAATGTCTAGAGTCACTCTATAGACTTCGAATTAATCATATTTAATATACCCATTCAAAATTGTGTACTATCTAATTTTACATATTGTACATTTGTTTAAAATGTATTCTAAATTAATTCCAGCTAAAAAATTGCCGAATTTAAAATATCCTAAATTAGTTGAAACCGTATTAAAATTTATGTACCTGGTTCAAAAGTTGATCCAAATTTCTTATTAGAAAAACGTTTTAGAATTATTTCATATATAATGTTGGCAGAGTAATTATTACATTTTTCGTTTCAACATTTGTTCTAATAGAAAACAAGTGCTATTAATACGCCACTGTCAGAAGACGCAATAACAAAGTTAGTTATCTCGTTAACATTTTAGAGAATATTCTCTTGTAGAGAGGAACCAGTAATATGTTCTTACAAAAAAAAAAAAATTAACTAAATTATTATTTTGAGTATATTTATTCAATCATGAAAATTTTTTCTAATATTTTATATTTATTTAAAATTTTTGATGAAAAAAAAAATTATCTATTATTTTATTGATATTGGGCATATGATAACAAAAATATAAATAATTATCTACAGAAACATTAATTATTCATAAATTAAAAACAATAAGCACTCCAAAAAAGTGGCTTTTGTTTAGATGCAATTGAAATTTCCCAGTCAAAAAAAATTCTAAACTAACAAATGGGCTCAAGTTTATCGTTAAGAATAAATTTGACTACTTTTTGTTAGTTCAACTATTAAGCGATTGTAAACTAATAACTTAAAATTGAATAATTATTTAACTTTATAGTAGTTAATATTTACAATATCGTTGGATCTAGTTATCTGAAAATTAAGAGATAAATTTGGAAGTAGCTAATTTTATATTTTGTAGCCATCACAGGCCAATGTTACAGTAATGTGAAATGTAGTAAGAAAATATTCTCAGAAAAGATTATTACAATAATTTTATATCACTAATCACAGCAAGAATCTAAAGCTGGCACTCAAACTAATTGCTCATTAACATGACAGGGAGCCTATTTATATTTATTTACCTGTCAACACTGGCAAAAGTTTCCCATCTCACTGAATAATTTCTGAATTATCAAAAGAAAACTTATACTCTTAACGTATTTGCACCTGATTTTCAAGATGATTAACGCGAATTTTCTAATTGACGTTCTATTAATAATTAATTTATAAACAATGTTTATTAAACATCGTTACCCAACACTTACAATTAAATATGCATTTCGTTCATTAATATAATTTATAATGCAGTTACAAGTAATGGTGTTATTATATCAACATCATCTTTTTTATCATCACTATAGTTTCATTCTACGTAGATAATCTTGGCTTTTTAAAATCTCTTCTTTTACTTGATGCGTTGTCTGGAAATACGAAATCATTAACAAATGCATCTAAAATTATAAATGTTGTTTTATCAACAGTAAAACATAAATGTTTATACAAAGTAGAACATATCTAACTGACAACTCATATAACTTATGACTTACATAACATTTTATACTTTTTTTTCAAATAACTTTCACAATATAGGACTATATTTAAAGTACGTTTTATGGTTTTTTTTTCGCAATTACAAGAAATAATCAAAAAAATCGTTTTTTTATTAAAATTTTTTTTTAAGATTTGAAGATGGCCATTTTATAGATTTTGAAACTTGTTAAAATTTTAATTGTTTTACCATTTTTTGGACCTTAGTCCAAGTATGTAAAAGACGAAAGTAAATATTATCTTTTTACGTTATTAATTATTAAATACTTTAAATATAAAATAAAATGATAATCGATATTCGATATTCGAAAACGTACATTGATGAGTACACTATTACAGCATACTGTTGTCACATTTACTATAGTACAGTAGGAGTTGTCATATCATATAACACTAAATACGAATTAAACTTTGGATTATGACCAAAGTTTAAGGTTTAGATTGGAAGTTTCTATCTATACAATCACATGAGATTGTATAGAAAATAATCATTGTTGTTATTGTTGTCACTATTTTTGATATTATCAAATTTACTACAACTAATTGTAAGAATCTATTTTCAATATTTAGATTTATCTATTTACAAAACAAGTGTAGGATTTATATACTTTTAGTAATTCCCTGTAGATAACTAGTTTTCGAACTATATTTTTAATTATTTTATCAAGTGTGGTTCTTAAAATTTTAATGCTGAATGATGAGACAATATTTGAAATGTACCAAGACTTGTATACGTTATATTAAGAATATATTTCAGATAAACTTTGTTAAAAGATAAACCATCCACGACTTTTATATGAAACATTATTGTATAACACAAATAGAGTGTCTAGGAATAAAAATTAACAAAATATTTCCATAAACCTCATAAAATTTATTAATTCCTATTTCTACAATTGAATATTAGATTTTTGACTTTTTTCGTTGTGATAATATTTATAGATAACAATAAATTGTACAAATAATACCCAACAGATTTTTTCGCGATTGACTTAGTTCTTAAGATAAATAGAAAAAACTACTCTTCGAGTAGAACTTTCTCCATTCTCTTGCGGAAAAAATTATCTTTAAATGATTTTCTTCAAACTTCATATTTATGATTTTGAATATATCTAAACAAATTTGGGAATTTAAAAATTTACCCAACCACATTAGAATACATAACTAGACCAAATTCAAGTAATAAATGTTTGTTTTTATTTAAAAAATTATCAATTCAGTTAATTTTTAATGTTTTTTTGTTTCTATGCAAGTAAATTGCGTATTTTTATATGAAATAGTAAACTGCATTGAATAATACATTATACTAATTTTAAATATCATAAATTTGAATATATTGTTCTCTTGCACTCAAAGTACTCTATATAGAATAAAAGTAAAATTTTTACTATTTAAATATGATAACTTAAATAAAAATATATACAATCTTTATATTTTATATTTATACAAATTAAAAATCAAAGAAAGCCACACAGTGAATCATTGCGATTCATTTCGATTATTTTTAAACTTTGGCGGTTTCACTTTTTAACAATAGGACTCGCCGATTAAATATCACAAAAGTTATGATTCGCCCGAATTCAATGACATCTTAGATGATACTTCTGCCGAACTCAAAGAAATACAACAGATACTGAGAGAAAAATTTGATAAACGCAATAAAGTTTTAGATGAAGAAGACGATGAAACGCCACACGATGACCGTAAGATATAAATATATTTTTAATACGCATCACTTAAACTGCAAGGAATATAAGTGAATTAATTTTATTTCAAGATGATCGAAATACATCTAACTCTCTTGTTATAAGTTTGTCACCTATATCCTTTGCAATTTGAGTACCTTGTATAGAATCTACTTAACAAACAAATCGTTTTTATAACTTTTAAAAGGTATGAGAAAAATTTTAGATGCAAAAATGCGATTAACTGACTCTCAGTACCAGCAGTTGTTGGAAAGTTTGTCATCGATTGACTATACTTACGCTCAAACTATGATGGACGAAATAATTTATCAGCTGGCAAAGGTCATGTTCAATCAAGCATTATACATAGGTAAATTTGTAACGTCTAAGAAATAAAAATGTATAAAAAACCGTTCCACATTGTACAACTTAATGCATCATTATTTTAAAAAGCCATTTAATAAGCTTTTAGAATAAAAATCAATAGTACTTAAACTAAGTAGAATTGAAATTGTTAATCTTAGTTAAAAATTTTTTAAACGCTTTCCCAGGCCCATAGCGACCTCCTCAAATGAGAGGTTTTCTTAACCGTCGAAACTCCGGGACGGTTGGTCCGGTCCGTCGCCGGACTGATTTAGTTTAATATTTCATAAAATAAAAATAACACGTATTTTGAAAATAAACAGCAACTTGAACGATTATTTATCTTTTATTATAAAACGAGTAATATTTTAATGAGTCAATTAATTATCTATTTTTATTTAGGAGGCACAGAAGCTCAAGAATCCTTACAAAAATTCACTGATTTTCTAGAAGCTGAAGCGAGTCAAGGAAGAATTTCTAGAGCTCTAGAAAAAAAAATTTTAGGTATGTTTTTCTTAATTTTGTACCATTGAAATGTTAAAGGAGTAAATAAAAAATTTACTTGTTAGTAATTAGTATTTTTGGTTATGATACATCTTTATGTAAAAACGACGAAATTTGCACTTATGTAAACCATAAGGAATTTGCACTTTGCGTGTAAAATTCAATGCTTTAAACACAAAATTACTAAATTTAACTCTTAAAGAGTTTAAAACCGAAAAAATACAAATGGTTATTTTCGTTTTGTAAATTTTTTTTAGATCAAACTTTAAGTTTGGGTAACGTTTATCAGCTTTAAATGTTTGGAAAATATTAATTAGCAGTCAACTAAAATTACTAGACATAGTAAAACCGAAATCATTTCGGTTTTTGGACCTAATTTAAATGATATCGGTCACTTGATTTCATTAGAAATTGTATTTTTTTGAAGCTAAATAATAAAGAAGCTGTCACAACTATATCTTTATACTTCTATTTACTCGTAACGCCAATGTAAAAATGACAGAAACAAGTTGTTTAAGAACATCATCTTATTAAGTCTATTCCATGTTTTTATTGTAACCGCGTCGCTTTGAGACACACTGAATCCGGCGACACCCAACCACATGGTAATTTCACTGGCCAACACCATGTGCCATACGATACAAAGTCCAGCAAGTATCGCCCGACCGATGACCGCCCACCGCAAATATACGTCGAGTGTTCTTCACGTCGTTGTCAATAACGTACGTCACCAACGTGTCTCATGAACCGCACCGTCGCGGGTTCGGTTGGATACGCGTGGCCACCAACCCCATTGACTTTCAACGTTCCATGACTATGGCGGACACCGCGTCGCCAAAAGTGTCATGCGAAGAGTACTATTAATTGCGTTCGTTTTTGGTGTTTTTACAAATAATCTGTTCGTTAATAATTAACGACCCACACGTCTGGACCATCTAAACCAACCAGTGTAAACTACATTATTGCGTAATTATTAAGTGTTATTAAGTAAGTCGAGTCATTTGAGTTTGTCCATTTAGAAGAATTATTTTTTATAACAAGACTGGTCGATTAATTTACCGAGGCTATACTATTCAATTAATAACGAACTTGTTTTTTATTTAATTAAAACACATAGAATATGTTCTAGTAAATCCAAGCGATTCCACCAAGTGGTGGCATTTGATTAGCAGTTATTTTTATTTAATCCCTACGAATAATAAATTAGTAGAGTGATCTGTTGCACTGTAATCTGAAACTTAAAATCAAAGTCTGCGATTAGGGTTATGTATAAAATATATTAATCTAAAGTGATATATATTCCGGTGATGACAAGTGCANTGTTGCACTGTAATCTGAAACTTAAAATCAAAGTCTGCGATTAGGGTTATGTATAAAATATATTAATCTAAAGTGATATATATATTCCGGTGATGACAAGTGCAAAGTTCTTGATCAATTGCAAGACTTGCATTTATGCAAAGGGTTACAATGTCGTTGATTACTTTTATCAACTAAATCTTGTTACTCTGATTACGTCAAATTAATTCACATTAAATAAAAATAAATCAATGATTACTTAGTACATTTTGTATTTTAGAATTACTGATACTTTCATTGTCGGACACTTTGAATGAACATCCTGAACTATTAGCAGCAGCAAAACAAGGGTTCAGCAAATATTTAGATACATATCCGAATTCAAGTAATTTTGAACATTTTTACTTTTAACAATGTAGTATTTTACTATATCAATTAATACGTCAACTTTTAGAGCTTGATTCAGTACGGAAAGCAAATGAACTGAATGAACATAAAACTAACAAAGTATTACAAAAAAAAAATTATGCGACATCTGTAAAGCAGTCGATCAAAACTTCTGGTTTAGAGGATGAAGACAATGTAAAAATATAAATTAGAATGATATTAAGTGATATATATATATATATATATTGTAATTGTATTATATGATTTATTCCCAAATCATTTTATGGTAAAATTAATAAATTAAAGAACCCTTTTCACTTGTCTTTCTTTTGAAGTCAGTGAGTTGTCCATTCTTTTTCTTTGTTTGATAAATCTATAAGTATATTTTTACATGAATTTGAAGATTGATTATTGGAATGTGCTATTGATTTGTGATAATAAAATACCAAAGTTTAATAATTTAAAATTAATGTAATATATATTTATTACAGAATTATATTATTTATTAAGACGATTAATTAACACATTGTTTTATGTTGAAATTATTTAATTTATAATACTTTGTTATAGTTAAATTAATTTAGAATTACATCATAATTTCAGTGTTGGTCATATGAAGTATATTTTAATAATATTTATCAAGACATACGCGGGTGTCTTAATAACTCAAACGATAAATATTTAAAATAATACTGTTCTTCTGCTGTTAAAATTGCTATTAAACTAGTAAAAAATCATTAGAAATATAAAATTGAAAATAACAATATTCATGTATTAAAGTTTAAAATTTTAAGATTAAGTTGTGATAATAAAAGACCTTATTACATATTTTAGTAAATGTATATTCAACATTTTTTATTAAATTACATTTTATGTAATTTATTATTAGCAATATAATGTGGTGAAAAAATAAAAATATACCTTAACAGATATAATTCTATATACTTTTTAATTATTTCCTTAAACAACAAAAGAGCATAAAAATTATAAAATATAATTTTTCTTAATCATTCTGTAAAGTTCTTAAAATCACAATTTCATTACTTAAAATTAATAATCACATTAACCAAGTGTACGGGATTGAATTTAAAAAAAATATATGATCTATTACTTAGTCGAATTATCTAGTGAGCCACAAAAAATAATAAAATTATTTAAAACTTTTATGTTAATGAGTGATTAAAATTAACGTATATAAATACAAAACATCGAAGGCAATAATTTAAAAAAAATGACACGGATATGCGATGAATTAAATAGTGTTTGGTAAAAAAAAGTAATAATAATACTAACGGAAGAACTTAGGATACAATAACTGTCAAAAGTATTTATCACGAAAGGTTAATTTAAATGACAAATTTTAAAGTTTCACCTAATTGTAGATAACTTCAATGTAATCCAATAATTGAACAAACTTATTTTTATTTAGAATGTACTAACATACTCAGTAACCATCAAAATAATTATTAGTTTCTACATTACTTTTATCATTACATTATTTTTTAGATATTCTTTGGTTAATATTTCTGTCAGTAAATGACTACAAATTATATTTATTGTAATATTTTAAATTAGTAAAATGTAATTCTATTGCAATATTTTTGAACGTTTGATTATATATCTTGTAATAAATAAATGAAAATAAATTGTTTATTATTTATATAACATAATTTCCTTATCTATTAATGATTTTTTTTTTTTACCAATTTATAGATAATAAATTTATTGAGCCGAATAACTAAAAAAAGTATCAAATTGTAATACAATTTATCAACCCTTAAAATTGTACCAACTTGAAAAAATAAATATATTAATTAATTATAAATTAGAAAATTAATTATTTGAAAAACTATATAATTAGTAAATTACTGGACAATAATAACTATCATATTAGTATTTTGGGCGATATTAAAAAATTAAAATAGAGGTTCCTTTTGAAGCTTAAGTGAGATTATTTTTATTATTAAACATTTCTGAGCCACTTTGTTCCTCTAGTCTAAATATACAAATATAAATAACTTTTAAATTAATAGTATTTTTAATTAATATTTTTATTTTTATTCTCATTAATATAAAATAATTAATAAAAGGAATATAATTTTTATTTCTCTAAAAGATGTTATGCTTTGCTTACAATATTATTTACATAATTTGTTATATTATAATAAATTAAGGAAATATAAGAATATTATCACTTAGTCAATATCAAGTTTTCTAAATGAACCTTCAGTATCGTCGTATAAGTATTTTATTTTTGAACTTTTAGTTCGTTTTTGCTCATCGTTAAGAACTTTATTATGAGATAAAAACCAATTTCTGTTTTTTATCAATTCTTCCTTCCAGTTATCTGAAATCATGCCCATTTCAATTTTACAATTAAAATTCATTATTTTATAAAAATAAATGTTTTTTAATTTAATAAATATAGAAATCTGGTGATAATATTTAAAGAAAACAGCGAAAATTCATAAAAAAATACTCACCCATAATTTCCTCTGATGTTGTGGAAAACAAACCGCCATAGTCAATTGGTAAAATTTTAGGATTTATATAGTTTTTCAAGTCATCGTTTGTTTTATGAATTATAAACTAATTATAATTATACTTAAAAACTTCAAAATATTTATCTTATTAATTACATTATTAATTATAACTCACCCTTTCTGTAATTTTTTTCTTTAGTAAGCTGCATATTAAGTTAATTATAGAATTGGCATATTTTGGAACATTAATAATATGAACTCTTTCAATTCTCAAAGGATATGCTACCTAAAAAGGATTTCAGTTGTTTTAAATAATTTAATAAATGTTGTAGTATATCATAATTTTTAATAATTTGATATAGAATTACTTGTGTTTTTACTTTTTTATTTATTATTTTGATAAACACATTAATTATCCAAAAAATAAAAATTGCATGAATAACTTTAGGTTATTTTAAAATTACTTACACTAGTAATTTGAACAAATTCATTAATATGAGTAATTATTTCTGGTAGAAGAGCCGTAGAGAAATGTTTCATATCCCATATAAGTATTTCTTTTTTGTATAAATCTAGTTTAGAAATTCTTATATCAAACGTCATGACAATTAATTTGCCGAAATTTACAAAGTTGAATTTCTTATAGTCATTATGTCTGAAATAACCTAATGATACTCTATTGCCTTCAGAAGTTAAAACAGGAAGTGGAACCAGCATGCTGCAATTTGTAAAATTTTAAGTGCATAGATTATATTAAACATGGATAAATATTTATATTCTAAATATATGCTAATAAACTATACAGATTATAACGTGTAAAAATATTTACCCCACAAAGGAATACCAATAATTTTGATTAAACAAAGAAATATATCATAAATACCACTAAACGATAGTAACAATATTTTTCATCTAAATCTTATTGTGTATAATACTTACATATGTTTTTTTTTTTTTACATGGACATTATAATGTAATGTACTATTTAAATAAACTAAAAAATTATTAAAATAATTATTATTCTATTGAAAAAAAAAATTGAATTACTAGTACAAAAATGGACGTATATAAAAATTTAAACATGTAAATGCGTCACAGATACTTAATTAAAAAACACTATGTGTCTTAGGCATCTAAGGAAAATACTTAAAAATATCTACAATATAGAAAAAAAATAATTTTGGTACACATTGTTTGTGTGTCTATTGTATTATTGATTTTTATTGATTAATTGATTATTGGCTCGATAACTAAAAGTCGTGCTGCACATTTATAATTTTAATAATGATATAATAAATATCTTCAAAATGTTTAGATAAATTCGCCATAATATTGTAGACAGCAGTTAATTGTTTATATTTTGTAAAAAAATGTTGTATATTAATTATAAATGTTATATACAACATGATTTAAATATTGTGTTCTATTTATATTTATAATCACCCATAATTCATTGCTTCTGTTAATTCTAAAGAAATAGAGTCCCAGTTGCAGAAAAATTTAGGTTTTAAAGTTTTTATAGTATAATATTTTTCCAGTGATTTCTTTGTTTTTTCCAAGCTATTTTTACTATAGATTAAAAATTGTGTGATTCTTTTTTCATCGACTGTCAACAATAAAAAAGATTTTTATTAGTTTTAAAAATTTTAAACTTATAAATGAAACGTATTCTATAAAAAGAACTGAAATGTAACAATAAAATTAAAATAGTAAATTTTGTGTATAAAATTATGTAATTCAGATATGTTTCAATTATAAATCATACAATTAAAATAAGAATAAATTTGTTGAAAAAGTATTATTTTTATTGTGTTTTTGAAAGAATATTTGAAGTATAAAAGTGTAAATTTAAAATAAATTAATATAAAAGTATATTCATGCATACATAAAAACTTACAGTACATAATTAATTAAAAAAATGAATTACTACTAATGAATACTTACGAATAGCGTTCGGGAGATGCGGTTGTTTTTTCATCCATTCTGATATTAATTTTACATCAACTTTTATCCTTTTTTCGTTAGTATTTAAATCTTTGTAAATTTGAATAATTTGAAAGGGAGTTGGTAAAATTAATATTTTATTATCCACTATATCCATCGAATAAAAAAAAAATTCAGTTACGTATTTCTTGAATTTAGTTTAGTATTAATTTAGATTTTTAAAAGAACATCTCCTTTATTTTAAATATAACTTAAATCATTTAATAACTAACATTTACTACTATTAAAATAATCAAAACTAAATTATATTAAATAATCAACATTTTTCAATTGCCAACTAATCACTTAAGGAAACTTTTTTACACAATTATTGCCCAATGTTATGTTAGATAAAAACATAATACAATACTGAGTTATGTGGAAATTAGTCGGGCAACATGTAAATACCTCACTCCACTTTTTTAATTTTTGTATTAATACGTAAAATTATTCCTTATCAACTTTAATTATTAATTTTTAGTCATATATTGTTGGTAATTAACCAATGACGAAGACAAAAAATTAAACTTTGGATATTCGAAAGTAAAATCGAAAATGTATATCTTATTAAATAATATAATAACTAATTTAACTGTTTATTGTAAAATGGCTGTTATTTAATAAATTATATTAATAAAAACAAAATAGTTAAATAAATAAACTATTTTATAGTTATTTAATTATTAACTATTTATTCTAGTTAATTTTATTTCTAGTTATAATTTTAAAATATCATTATTATAACCTATCATCATAACACAAACTCATTTCTTTTTTATTAAATATAAAAAAAAAACACAAAATATTAAATAAAGTTGTCGTAATATATTTTTCAATATAAGTAGTAATTATCTTTAACAAGAATTATTCTAGATTGATGTAATATAACATACGACTGAATCAAAGAAACTTACTTTTAATGTCCTATACCATTATAACGTAAAAAAAACTTAACGATTATAAAAAAATTTGCTTGAAGTGCTTGAGGATATATCCATGTTTACAGTTGAGTTCAGTATAGTTGCAGCCACCGACTAGCAACCATCACTCTGAAGATGGACTCTGCAATGAGTCCGAAACGTCAGAACTCAACTGTAAACATGGATATATCCTCAAGCACTTCAAGCAACAAAACAATCCATGAAAGTTTTAACACATTCATATAAAAAAATTCTTAGTATTTATCTTCAAAAAATTATCCAATTGTTAAAAAAAAGTTGAAAATTACAGGTCGGCAAAATAAATAATAAGTAAAATTAATTTTTTTTGGTAAAATAAAATTATATTTTAAGTGTATAAAAAAAACAAACCTTAAATATAATGGTTGCATAAAAAAACTTGCACAATTTTTTTTTTTTTTTTTCATTAAAAACTTAGTTTTTTTTATATAATCAATAAAATTTATTTATTTTAATATAATAAGAATAACAAAAATAATTTAAAACAATAATTCATAAAATATCAAGACTAATCAATTTCCAATTTATCACTCTTTAAATTTTTTTTTTTTATGGTGGATTTTTTCATAGGTCCATTATCTTTAACTTCGGTCGAACTATGGTCAATTAAGAATTCTCTGTGTTTTATTAAAATTTTTTTCCAGTCATCTAAAATTAAATATTTGTTAATAAATACTTTATATTAATTTTTTAAACTATTGGAATATTTGAGGGGTAAAGTTATTTTTCTCGATTGAAAAATAATGTATTAATTTACTTTTCACAACTTATAGTTTCCTCGTAAAAATATTTATTTGTTGTTAATCAATGAATTAAATAGTACGAGCGCAATACAAATAAAAGTCGTAACAACTCTGATTAGGTCAATATTAAAATATATTCCATTTAAAGAATACAAGTCATAGACTTTTAGAAAATATACAATAATTATTACTGTTTAACTATTGTCGAACCAAAATATTTACTGTCATAAAGCATATGCTGAAAAATAGCTATCTAACATTAAGTATATATATATTTTGTTTTTTTTTTTTATAATATGATTTTACAAAATATGCTTTATTAATGACCCGAGAATATAAAAACTTTTAAAGACAGCAATCAAAATTGAAGATTATACCCAGTTTTATAATTAAACAGAATATGCTAGGCAACTGCGTATGCAGGTTAAAGTAAAAGTGCAAATAATAATAATAATAAAGTCTTAGAAAATTTTGATAAGATGTCATTTTAGATAGACATTACCAAACTATTAAACATTAACATTAGGCATAATAAATTCAAATTAAAGTTAATAAACATTTAAGCATTTTTCTTACCCATCACATCATCTGAATTTTTTTCAAATGTACCGCCATAGTTAATGGGGAGCACACTGGGATCGATAAACTTAGTTAAATCTTCAATTCCTTTATGAATAATAATCTAAATATAAATAAAAAAAAGATAAAAATTCAATACTAAATTTATTTTAAAGTAAAAACTCACTCGATCAGCAATTTTCTTTTTGACCAATCTTCGTGTTAAATTTAGAATTGGAGCTGCATAAATTGGTACATTAACCATATGAATTTGATGAAATCTCAAAGGATAAGCTTTCTATAAGTAAAATTTCAAAAAGACATTTAATAAATAGTATGTCAATTATTATATTATGGCGTTGTACAAAAACTGACATTAACACCATGTCAAGACTTTTACTAAAAATCTTCAAGAGACATAAGAAATATAAAATTAGAGGTGTATATGTTATTTTATTCGTTTATGAACTAGAATAGCTGCTTATTATAAAATTAATTGAAAAATTATTTTAACGAAATTTGTTTGATTTTTGACTTAGTTATGCAATTTTATATAGATGACCAAAAATATATTTGTTTTTTTAAGGCACACTTTAATCTTTATTTTAATATAGGATAAAAGTTTCGGAACATATGTTGTCATGTCAAATTAAATTAAAAAAAAAAAATACAAGTTAGAACATTTAACTGACAACTCTATCAATTTTTATACTATTAAAATTTTACGGTATTTTTTTTTTTTTAACAATCTTAAACTATGCTAAAAGCATACTTTATGCAATAAAAAAAATAATGTTTTTATCTTTTCAAAAATTAAAAATAGACGATTTTTATAGCTTTTCTTACAATACATTTGGATAGATCGATAACAACTTAAAGATAAGTACTTATTGAGTTGCAAGTATTTTAGTACATTGAGTGGGTACATAGCGCAGGCAGAGTGAAAAAACACCAGAAAGAGGTGTGGCCACCCACGCGATGCTTTACATCCTGACACGGTCACGGCGTGTTAGGATGTAAAACTTCTAAATTATAAAAGCTTTTTTCAAGTGCCAGAGAAAACGAGAAAACTTAGATATTCCAACGCAACAGAACCTCAGTACTTACACACCGAAGCACGACGTGTACTGAGCTACCAGATAGTAATTTTAAAAATAATGTTATAAAATCATTTTTATTGCGTCCTGCTGTTAAAAACCATATACTTTATTTATTTTTTTTTTTTTTAAATAATGATCTTCTCATAAAAACGTACTAAATTTAATGAACAAAAACAAATATCAAGGTTTTTCTATAAATACTAAAATTGACAAATGATTTTAATAATTTGACGACTTCAAATAACAAATTTAATCTAGAAACATTTATTATTATAAATTCATGAATTTTTATAAATATCATTATGGGTCTCTGACCTTATATCTCAGAGATTTTTTAGTTGTATGACTATATCAAGATGTTATTTAGGACTGTTGGATATGCATAAATGTCTTTATTTTTATTAGGTCCATTTCAATTATTTTATTTATTTTAGATTAGTACTTCCTTAAATTTACCTTTGTATAAATAAGAACCATACTTAAAATGCTCTTACATTTGTAAGATTGATATTTTTTTATATTAATTCTGCTCATTAACATTTAAATTGAATATTAAAGAGAGTCTATAGACTCTCAAAAAATTATATTGATTTGGTTATTTTTAAAAAAGTTATGGCAATTTTAAGTAAAAAAAATTGAAAAAATTTCGAAAATTAGCGATTTTTAAATTTGTAATTTTTTTGGAGGTTTCCCCCAATTACGGGGAACGAGGGAAATTTTTTCAATTTTTGAGGGTAATTTCTTCGACTAGATACGATTTGTGATCTTTTGACGTATCGTTGAAAGAAATCGGTTTGGTTAGAACTGAGAAAAAGTGTAAACAGACACACAAAAAAAAAAAAAAAAACACATCATAGTAAAACCAATACCTTCTCTTCTTCGCATTGAAGCTAATATTAAAAAATATTATTATTTTAGACCTAGTGAATGCTATGAATTACCTTGCACTAGTTAAGATAACAACAAACAATAATTTTTTGGGTTAGTATAATTTTTATTAAATTTACAGTCGTGTGGCTATATTTTAAAAATGTTTACTTACATTTATACAATACATGTAGTCTTTTATATGTCGTAGAGTTTCAGAGAGAAAAGCCAATGAATATATTTTCATGTCCCATATCATTATATCTTTAGTATATAAGTCTAATTTAGAAACTCTTAATTCGAGGTTCATAAAAAATATTTTTCCAAAGTTAATAAAACTAAACTTTTTATAATCTTCGCTTGTATTATAACCCAAACTAACTCTGTAGCCTTCTTTTGTCAATTTTGGAAGAGGAACAAGAAATCTGTAACAATTAGTTGATTATTAATACATTAATTTATTTCCAACAAGCCATAGTTATAATCAGGGATCGTGACTTTATGTCTTTATCAAATTTTGTTTGACCACTTTTAAGACACCCAACTTCGTGAAAAAATATCATAAGTGTATAAAGTACCACAGGAATATTATTTGTTCTAGAGGGAAATGATTCCCTTATGACACAAAACTAAATTTATAATTAATATACGCTGTTTAGTGTTAATAAAAACATGAATATCTATTTATCATCAATATCAATATACTAAAATGACTAAATAAACTTAAGAGCCGAGCGCAGTAAGTGTATAAATCCTGATTGTAATTATAATGAGTTGCAGATAAATTTCAGTTAGTTATGCAACAGAAGACCAAATAAATAAAATAGAGTAACATCACCAGTGAGCGAATACCAGTGAGTTAAAAAAATCATCTAATCTGATTGCAACAAGTAAGTTGTTTGTAGCTTGTACAACAAAGAAAATATTTAAATTAAGTCCTACTACAATATTACAATTTTTACAAATATCATTAACTGTTCATTCACTGGAAAACTCCAATATTCAACAAAAAATAATAAATTCAAATACTTGTTTTTTGAGTTTTTCAGACAACAATTATTTATTAACTTCATAAGTGTTACATCAAAATATTAATTTATAAAGATTTTTAAAAGATGAACTGTTCATTCACTGGTGAAGTTACTCCGTTTAAGATAAACAATAATCCAGAATCATATAATTCCTATAAATTTAAACTAAAATTTACAATATATTGTGATTTTAATCATTGATTATTTCATTCATAGCTTCACATACAAGTTAAAATAACTGGTAAATTTTATTTTTAATTTATTTCAAATGTTTCTTTTCTTTAAGAATATTTTTTTTTACCAAATAATTAGAATTTATTTTTTGATAATTGTGAATTACATTAGATTAAACCGTTCTAATAATTACCATATCTGGTTATCTTACCAGTAACATTTGAAACTAATTAAATTAAAAAAATGTTAAGGTTTTTACATAGACTACACCTTAAAAAATATGATAACCCAGAAATTGTAAATTAAATTTATTTTGTTTATGATATTTTCAGTTAATTCATAAAGTTATTTTTACGTTTAATTATATGTATTATCAATCGGAGACAAATATTGCATCTAAATCATATATAGATCATTATTCTTAAAAATTATTGCCAACGAAGTAGTAGAATTTTTTTAATTCAAATCAAAAGAACAATAAAATTATCTAATATATTTGCCAAAACTAATTGTTTTTGAATTAAAAAAAAATTAATTAATAATTATTACAATGCAAAAGCAAATCATTATTTTTAATAACAACGATTTATCAATACATTGATTCTTCTAAAAGGTAAATCAAAAAAATAAATACAATGAAAATATACAATTTTTTTTTACTATGTATTAAATATATATATATATATAATATACAAATACAATTTTTAGGTGGTATATTCACCTTTGAATCAACATCCTTTAAATTGCCTTAGATGAATAGAAAATATTTTTTTAATATTTAAAAACGTATCAATTTAAATTGTTTATTTTTACTATCTGCTGTTAATAAGATGGCGTTAAAAAAAGGAAAATGATACATGACAAATATAAAAAAACCCAGCACAGGGGGGTCGCGGCACAGTTGTGACGTGGTATAGTTGGATCAAGTATAATGATATCTGACAGCGATTAAAATCACTATCAAAAATAAACGCTTCGATGCAAATCTTTAGATAGTGTTTAATTTTAAAAAAATTGGTGTTTTATTCCAAAAGCTACTTGATCTGGTGGTTCCTTATTAATATCTCGATTAAGATAAAGTATGTCGAATGAAAAAGGGTTTATTAAAAAATATTATTTCTCATACAAAAATTGTGTGGATCCATAAACTTTTCAATAAGTTATAGCATTATAAAGTTAAATATAATATAAATCATAAAATCGAGAATTTTCACACGAAAATAGCATTCGGTAGCCATTTTCGCCGTGAAGACAAGTCCAGAGGTCAAATTTTTTTTTTTCAAATTAAAGTATATTACATTAGCTTTAATTTAAGATATATATAAAAGTGTCAGACCTTCCGGAACATTTTCAAAAGTTATGTTGAAAAAGTAAATTTTTTGTGAAAAAGTTGTCATTTTAAATCCCCCCCTGTGGG